AAGGGCATCCACATCAGAGGAATGGTGGTGAGAATTCAATGGCAGTGCGAGTAAAGACTTTGGATCAGCATTCGGTAATACACTTGGTACTGTATTTTGATCAACATGTGAGTTAAGGTAAGGACACCTCGTCCATCCATGCTCTTCTTTCAAATGAGAAACACAGTCTCTCAGGAAGAAAGAAACCAGTGCAGACATGGAGAAAACATCTCAGGAAGAGAAAGGGGCCCTCTATGCTTCCTGAGTGGAACGAAGTCCAGGGACCATAATGTACTGTCAAAAGAGCACAGCCCTTCCTGTCAATCCTGAACATTCTTTGATGCTACAATCATAACCCTCATCAGAAAGCCACCACCTGAAAGGCTGCACGGTGCCTGCTTTGGATCAGCGGGCAATGTGGGGCCCCTGGCAGGATGGCCTCTGCTATGTCCCTGGCCTTGCCCCTGCCCCTATCACACTCAGTGGTGACTCTGGTCTGGCTGCAACTCCTGCCGCTGCTCTCCAAAGACACCAGGCACTTCCCAGCCTTCATGCTTTGTCCTGCTGCTCTCACTGCTACTGCTGCCCACCCCTCTCTAATCCAGCTCCTGGAGAGTTGTCACTGAATGGCTCAATGTGCTCCCACAGCAGCTTCTGCCTACCTGTACCTGGTAATAATGGATGAATAAGAATAATGGCAACTAACATCTTTGAGCACTTATTAATGGCTAAAACGTCCTGAACTAAGTTTCCTTTTTTTATTTTTGAAACAGACTCTCACTTCATAGTTCACAGCAACCTCAAACTCTTGGGCTCAAGTGATCTTCCTACCACAGCCTCCCAAGGAGCTGGGACCACAGGCGCCCGCCATGCCAGGCTGTTTTTAGACATGGGCTATTGCACTTGTTCAGGCTGGTCTCAAACTCCTGAACTTAAGCAATCCACCCATTTCAGCCTCCCAGAGTGCTAGGGCTACAGGCCTGAGCTGCTGTACCCAGTCCTCTGAGCTAAGTTTTTACCCATACTGTCTTATTTTTCTCTTCACATCATCACCTTTTTTTTTTTTTTTTTTGAGACAGAGTCTCACTTTCTCGTTCCTGGTAAAGTGCTGTGGCACCATAGCTCACAGCAATCTCAAACTCTTAGGCTCAAGAGATTCTCTCGTCTCAGTCTCCCAAGTAGCTGGGACTACAGGCACCTGCCACAATGCTGGGCTATTTGTTTTAGACACAGAGATCTTGCTCTTGTTCAGGCTGGTCTTGAACTCATGAGCTCAAGTGACCCACCTGCCTCAGCCTCCCAGAGTCCTGGGATTATACACGTAAGCCACCGTGCCCAGCCCTCACATCACCATCTTAAGGAGGCAGCTCATCCGTTTGAGAGGCAAGGCCACTGTCCATCTTCACCCAGCTACCAGGTGGCAGCTGCAAGCTTCAAAGCTGAATTAGCCTGAACCACCTGAATCTGCTACTCTGTCTTCTTACTACTGAAGCCTTTATCCCACAGTGTCCTCATTATCTGTCCCCAGGCCTTCCTCTCCCCCCAGAGTAAGGATCCTGAGTGCTCCCTTATTCATCTTGAAATCCTTGGCTAAGCACAAGGTCTGGAATGGAGTAAAAGTCTGTTGAATGAATCAATGAACCCTGGAAAATGACAGCTGGATGAGAAAGGCTAAGTGGCTGCTCACAGACTCCCTGGTGACAGGATGCTGCTGGACACAAATTCCCAGGAATCAGCCCCCTCTCCACCTCCAAAAGACAGGCTCACTTTCCCTGTCCTGACAGCTACAGGCAGAACAGAGTCTAATGGAGGTGGAATTTTCTGAGAGCCCATCAAAAAAGAGGAAATGGTGGTGATGGTGACAGTCATTTCCGGCCTTCCTATGAGCACCAGGTGCTGAACTAAGCACCTGGTGCTTAGTTCTTCTTTTTTTTTCTTTCTTTTTTTTCTTTTTTTTTTTTTTTTTTTTGAGACAGTCT